TCTTTGTTTAAGGGTCAGGGGGCACCAAATCCCAAAAAAAAAACCATTTTTGATATTAAAAATTGGGGCTTTTTTTTTTTTTTTTTTTTTTTTTTTAGAAATTGTCTTAACCTGAAAATTTCCCTTTTTTGTCCCAGTTTAGCCCATTCAGACTGGAGTCTCACTTTTCATGTTTTAGTTCAGTTTCTGGCAAATCCCAACAGATATGGGTTCATTTCTCCATCATTCTTTGGGTCAGCATCACTACACTCTAAAAACGAATTTTGGAAGATATTAAATTTTTGCTATTAAAAACATTTACATTCACATCATTCACGTTCATTTGTAATAATACTGTTCAATAATGCCTAACTTATAACATTTTAGGTGTCTTTTAGCTGTTTAAATCACTGTTTTCCAATCAGAAATACTGATTCAGATACACCCTAGGTGTAAAAACAAGGATCGTATCTGGGGTTTATTTCGGTCAAACAGATTTGTTTAAGTCGTGCTGCTATGTAGGTCAGTCTGCACACCAGTCAGTACCTGGTCAGATTAAACCACTGCGTGTCATCCACCTCAGCTCGGTGCCAGCTAATCAGGTCCACCACTCTGGGTCATCTGGTTGGCTCTTCTTACTCAATAACCGTCCCTGTTCTATGGAAGTCCAGACGTGCCACAATTCAATAAAGATATAAATCGTTAAATGAAAACTGTAAGCAGCATGACTAATGTCTATAAAAAAATTTATCAAAAATCAAAGTGTGAAATAATCTCTGTTCAGTCGACAGGTTTTAGATTGAGTCCAAATTCCTTCAAAAGCAGTAAAAATAATCTTTTAGCTGAGCACAAATCCTAAGTCTTGTCAAAATCATAACTACATATTCTAACAACAATAAAAACTCTGCACAACATGTGTGGACTGGAGGTGAAAATAGGTTAAAAAAAATTGGTTTGGATTCAGCAAAAGGATTTTGAACTTTCTGTTTTTTTAATGGAACGATGCTACCGCTCCATCACTGAAATGGGTATCTGACCATAAAATGTAAAAAAAAAAGAAAAAAAAAAGAAAAAAAAAAAAGAGAGAGACAAAGAGAGACTGGCTCTCACACTTCTAAATTCTAAAGTAAGCTTCAATGACTTCTGTGTGCTTCTTTGCTTTAGGCAGCTATTTTGACGTTGTGCCTGCTGTGTTTTGACGGTAGGGCGCGTTGTCTGCCGAACTCCTTTCCATTCCTCCTCCAGATCGGCAGAGATGGGCATGACTTCTCCACTGCTGCTGTTGATATGCATATACCTGTCGGCAGTTGGCCGGGCGCGCTTGGAGGGCGTCTGCCTCCAGGACGGCAAGCACAAGGCCACGCCCGGCGCGGAGCCACACCTGTCCGAGTGCGGGCTTTACGCCGACAGTGAGTGCACGCTCTCCGTAAGGTCCCACAATAATTTCTGTGTTGAAATGACAGCAGTGGTTTGGTGTTTTTGTTTCATCCTGGCTGCTGCAGACAGCTGCTGCACTGAGGAAGACATCCAGGATATTGCCTATGTTCCTTCTGACCGCAATAAGAACGAACCCTGGGACAAGTGTGGCCCTCTGAGCTCAGAGTAAGTCCCATCTGTTCTTGCTTTCTAATAACATCCCATTCTAATTGTTTCTCCTTTTCATATTAGAATTGTGAGTCGCATACACAGAGGCGTGTCTACATTTGTTTTGGTTTCAGGGGGGCCAGGTTGAGGTACAAACGATAAATTCAACTAAATGCACTGCAGTCTTAGATTACGATGAGATTAGATTTGCTTTAAACTGAATGGTTGCTGAAATGTGCTGTACAAAATAAAATTGACTCTCAAAAGTATTCAAACCCCTTCACCATTTCCAGATTAGGTCAGATTACAACCCACCAAATTCAACTTTATGCAGCTGCATTTCCATCAACCATTGTAATTTGACATTTTGAAAATAAATTTGCTTAATGTAAATGCGGCAATTTGAAAAAATTGAATAAAAAGCCTTGATGCTTTTCTTTTTGGGCCATATTAAAATTGGTTTATTTCACAAAACTGCAAAAGTTTTTTTGGTGTCACACGAGTCACATGATCGGTAACCAGATGTTGCAACTGGCGCAAACCATGAAGAAGACGACAGGAAGTGGTAGAAAGATGAAGGCGCAACATATTTTTTAACGACTTACCATGTGAACAATCTTATGCTTGAGATTTTAATCGTGTTTCTTATGTGATGGAAACATTGCAATTGCAAAATTTTTCGACATTAATGGAATATCGACAATGTTTTTGCACACATCAGTAATGAAAACGCAGCCAGAGGTAGGTCTGGCTGCGTTTCTAATCCCAGAAACGCATGTTGAAATTCCTGGTTGTGACGTGTCAAGATGTGGGAAAACTTCAAGATACTGAATACTCTTGAAAGTCTTTTATTAAAAATATCATTATTTTTCACACCTGCACGGTACGAGTCACACGTTCACATTTGCCCTCGCTGTCTTTCCCTTCCCAGTGACATTGCGGGTCAGTAAGAGTTTGCAGTCTGCGCTTGATGGCACCTCACGCTGGTAGAAAACTGTTTCCATCTGTCTCCGCAGGTGCGAGGGCTATCTGAAGCGCGTGTCGTGTTTTTACCGCTGCTCCCCTGACGCCTCCCGCTGGCCTCATCCTCACCGCCGCTCGTACATCCAGGCGGTGCCGCTCTGCCACAGCTTCTGCCGTGACTGGTGAGGCTGCCTGAACACAACTCAGTAGCTGCTCCTGCTCACATGTCAGACTCTGGGAGGAAAGGATGCAGTTTTGTAAAACAGTGCTTAGCCCCAAGGCAAAGTGCCCTATAAATAAAACAGCATTTTTTTTTTCTTTCTGAAAATTTCTGGGTTCAGAGGACATTAACAAATCTGGAGGTTTGTGGAAACACCCCCCCGAGAGATAATCCTCTAAATGTTGGAAAACATCTAATGCAAACACAGAAAGATGATTTGAAGAGGCATTTGAGAGCTTGTAAAGAAGTAATACATTTCAAAACTTCCCCACTGAATTTAAAAGTTTAATCTGCTTTTCTGCTTTGGGAATTTACTCTGACAGACGGCATCTGAATAAACAGTCTGAGATTATGGAAAATATGGTCGCTTCTGTTGCCAGGACCAAGATGAGAGGAAACAATGCATTGTTTCTGCAGAATATTTGAAGGGACAAATCCACAGTCCAACAGCGGATCGAGCACAAAATGTGCATCAAATCCATTCTCTACATTCTAAAAAACGGCTATGCTAAAGACAAAGCAATTTGCTAATTCAGTACTGTGTCAGATATAGAGCCATCCAGGTTTTGGTTGGTTAACACAAGGTTAGGTAAGGGGTGCTGGGTTGGCATTTAAACCCCTAAAACAGATTAAAGTGGCTAATGTAATATATTAAAGCTAATATCAAGTTGGAATAAAGAATAATTGGACTTCTAAACACAAAGCATTTGGGTTTAAATGAATTATTTAGATTTTTAGTTTAATTATGAATTACCAGATAACAAATAAAAACAGCCTTGTAACATGTACAAAGTGTCTGATTCACCAGCAGTTGGTTCTAAACGGCAAACTTCATGTTTAGTTTAAAACACAGGGTAAACATAGCTTGTATGTGTAGAATCTGAATGTTGAACCAAGCTAGCACTAGCTTGGTTGATCAGGTAAAATGCTAACATTTTCCTTTAAATAAACTCATTGCCTAATATGAACTAAATTCTTTGACACAAATTACTTACATTAACATTTTTATAGCATCATTTTAACATCTTACAAACTTCATGCTCAGTATAAGTCACAGTGAAAATATAGCCTGTCTGTGCTGACTGCGTTTAGTGACTTCTTTAACTAATTATTTGGTCAGAATCTGAATGTAGCCAAGCTAGCACTAGCTTGCGATATTAACTGGTAAAATGCTGACATTGTCCTAAAAAAAAACCTCACTGTCTAATATAAACTATGTTCCTTAACAGAACAATGTCTTTTTCAGGAACATAAACAAAGAAGGTTTGTTTATGTGTGCAGTGGACTCCCGAGTTTTACTTGCTAACGGTTGTTTTACATCCATCCATCCATCCATC